TGGGGGCTCCGGGGGCAGAGCAGCCAGCCCAGTCTGCTCTGGGGTCACGGCTGAGGTCCCTGGTCTCCCGACAGTAATTTGATGTCATTAAGTAATGCAGATGAAGTAATCTTAATTCACCCCTGCCCCAGGTCGGGGGGAAAGGGAATGAATTTGTAGGGCTCAGTCCTCTCCTCCTGTGAGCAGCGTGCTGCTCTCTACCCCTGACTTGAGCAGCATTTCGGGAGGGGAGGGGGCTGAGAGGAGAGTGTCGTCGGGATCCTCAGGATGAAGCCAGGAGCTGGGGAGCCCAGAGGCGGGGGGGGGTGGGGTCTGGGCAGTGAATCGCTGGGTAGGTGTGAGCGTGGCGGTTCTGAGTGCTGCAGGGCACAGCAGGCGCTGTGTGTAAGGCAGAGGGAAGCCGCCCTGGAACTGAGGACAGAATGAAGCTTCCAACCAGCTTGCTTCCCGACCCGGCGCAGGCAGGGAGAGCGCGGCCCTGAGCAGCAGCAGCTGCTGATGTTTCTGTTTCAGACGTGGGCAGCTGCACAGGAGGCATGATTAAGGTTGAGGCTATATATTAGAAAAAAACTTATTCACCAAGTTAGGGCAGCCCTGGAAGAGGTGACATGTAGAGACAGTGAAAATCCATCTATGGAGCCCTTTGCAACAGTCCTGTTGCAGGAGAGAAGCTGGGCTTGAGCCGTCCGGAGATCCCTTGCAACCAAACATGTTATGATTCTGTAAGATGCTGACAGTAAGATGTTTTTTCTTGCTCTGGATGTGTTCTGGAAGAACTCAGTAGGAGGCATCGTTCTCCTGTTCCGATAGGTGGTTGTGCATGCCATCTACCTTACAACGCGGTGTACATGCTCGGGAATATACTACAGTCAGAAATATCAGGTCGTGACGGCACACGAGTTGGCAGGAGGGTTTGGCTGATGGAGCTGCTGAAAGTCACCGGCTTCTCTGCTTGGGTGTTTGTTCCAGGAAGCAGCTGAGAGTCAATATACGGGCGTTAGTCCACCTTAAGCTGGAGTATTACCTTCTACATGGAGACAAACTCATCGTCTTCACTGCTTTCTCTAGGGGCTCCTCTCCCTCCTCGTTGCCTGCTTCTGCCAGAGCCCCTGCCTCTGCTTTCGGAGCAGTTATTTGCAGGCAGGGGGGCTGCTGAGGTCTCTTTTGGCAGCCCAGGTGCTGTCTGTCCTGGAATGCCTGTACATGGACTTTGTGACCCAAGTTATTTAAAGCCCTTATAGCACTTTTCACATCTAGCTCTTTTCACCCACACATCCCAAAGCAGCTTAAGTGAGGTCTCATACAGCGTATTTTGTATCCCGGTCCAAAGGCGGGGAAGCCGCTGCAGGGGGAAGTTCTGCGCGTTGGCCAAAATTTCAGCAGAACAGTGCACAGGAAGAGGAATGAGGCCAAATTCCCCACGAACTGGGTCACGCTGTCCCTTCGGTGGGCTGCACGCTGCGGTCAGATCGCCGGTGCCACTGACGGGGGCAAGGGGAAACGGGGTGAGGGGAGGGGGCACGG